GTCGCACAAAGAACACGACGCACGGTCTTTTACGATGTTCGGTCTACGGGGGCCTTCGCTGGGCCCCGGGACCGTCAAAAAACGACGCAGTGGGCCGAGACCTCCGGGGCCAAGGCTGGAACAAATCATGGTGTCGGGGGGGGTCCAGGTCCGTCGCTCCATCCCCCATCCCTGCTTCCTCCGCTCTTCCTCCTCCCGCTTGCCTGCTCGCCCTCCTCCTCCCTTGGCCCGCGCGGTCCTCACACCACCTCCTGAATGCCCTGTCCCTCCCCCGTTGCCCTCCATGGATCCATCCCCCAGCCCTGCTTCCTCCGCATCCTCGCCCCTCCTCCTCCTTGCTCCTCGCCCCCTCCGCGTCCGTGTCCCTCCTCCCCTGTCTCATCGCGCCCCTCCTCCCTGCCCCCCGCAGGCTGGCGGCCACGCGGACTCGCCTGGCAGTGGAAGGGGGCCGCGGCATCGGCAGGGAGAGCGCAAAAGCGGAAAACGGAGAGATCTGGCCAGGCGAAACTCGGCCAGGCTGACCCTGGCCAGCCGAAGCTCGGCCAGGCTCAACTCGGCCATGGCCGAGTTAAGCTTGGCCGAGTTGAGCCTGGCCGAGATTCACGTGGCCGAATTCCAGATGGACGAGTTCGTCCTGGCCGAATGTGATCGCTGCCCCGCTGAGGGGAGGGTCGAACGCGGGGGCCCGCCAGAGGCAGCTGCTGGAGGATCGCAGGAGGGGCACGCGCGACCGGGCAGAAGTTCTCGATGTCGGCGAAGCTCGCAGTGGCGACGGCGTGAAACACACGGGCATAGGGCCCCGACAGGGCCCCACATCTATCTGCCCCGAGACGCCGACCGCAGCATCCCCATTTTGATCTTCATCGACTGGTAGTTCGGCCAGCGCCATGACATGCACTGAACGCGGATTGCAGCAAAGCGTCCACACCCTGCCGCATGCATTTCATCAGTGGTCGGTTTGGCCCAGTCGGGTCTCGGGAGGAACGAAATGCGAGCTCGGCGCTGAACAAGTTGCATCGACGCGATGATTGTCTTTACTTAATCGGGGGGCAGTCACCCGAGAGGGTCTGGAGGTGAGGGGAGGGGAGGAATCGCTCTCGCCCCTGCCAGAGGTCCCCAGAGCCTCGCGGATGTCTCCGGAGGTCCCTGGAGGTCTCTGGATGCCGCCCGAAGCTTCCACAACACAAAAAAACGCCCAAAAAACTCATCCCCCTCGAACCTCGAGTGCCAGTCTCACATCCTCGAACATCGGGAAGAGGGGGACGGCAAGAGGTGGGAGGAGGTGGAGCAGAGCAGAGCTGAGCAGAGCTGAGCAGAGCAGAGCAGACCAGCACCAATGACACGATGGAGTGCCAGAGCCTCAGAAGAGCGCACCCTGAGGGCCTTCAGGAAAACAAAAAGACGGATCACGCACTCGAGAACCACTTCAGGGGCCTGACAGTCTTTGGGGCCCTGTGGGAGAGATACCAATGGCAAAGACGAGACCCCATTTGGGGACACCTCGGGGGCTCGTCTACGCACTTCCTCGCTGAACAGAGCCAGAGGCGAGCGTCGAAAAAGCCCACTCCGGCGCAACCCCCATCTGGACTCACGGCGAGGAGCAGCCCAGACGTCGGACGACCTCGAGGACCCCGCTAGGCGGCCCTCCCCCAGAAAACTTGCGGCCAGTCGCAGCAGGTGTGGGGCCTCACAGAAGGCCCGAAACCGCTCGGCACCGAGGGAAGCCTGAATCGGGGAGGCCCGCAGAAAAACTACGACCTCCAGCGGCCCCCAGGGAGCGCGCGAGGATCGGGGCGGGAGCCCGAGCCTGGAGGGCGAGGAGGGGCTCTTCCTGGAGGCGGCCCTGGAGGAACAGTTCGGCGGCCCTCTGGGAGCCACGAATCGCCGCGAGACGGGCCCGAACCGCGGGCCTCACTGTCCTGCTCAGACGCCGTCTTCCTGCTGCTTCTCCAACTCCTCATCGGGTTTGTCCTTGAGGCCCAGCTTCAGCAGAGGCTTGGCCGCCTCCCTCTCGAGCCCGCCCCGTCGGCGGGGAGCCTGGGAGGTAGTAGACGTCATGGTGATTATCATTGGTCGCGGCCGCCAAGATAGCAGCCTGGATCGCGTCCATCAGTATCGTGTTGAAGCCTTCCTTCCCACTTGTTGGCCCGCTGATGGACCCCCAGCATGATCTGGAACTTGAAACGGCCCGGGCACCGCTGCTCTTTCTCGTCGAACAAACACGCACCGTGAACGGCCGGCACCTCCAGCGCCGTCGGAGCTAGGATCACCTCCTGTCAGTAATCCTGGAACAAGGCCTCGGCCTCCAGCGGCGTCGTCTTGGCCCCGCCCGTGCAGGCCCACTTGATGAACGCCTTGTAGACGCGTGGCCACGGCGGCCCGCGCTCGCGATTCGTTCCGCGCGCCTCGCTGCCCCCTGCGCAGATGCGCCGCGGCCCCAGCGACGCGCGCGCGCGAAGGCCACGGCGGCGCCCGCCGCGCAGCGTGCCAAGCGGGCACCAGTCACCTCGCCCAGCTCGCACGCGCTGGCGAGAGCGAGTTTGGCGGGCACCGCCAGCCGCGAAGCTGGCAACCCGCCGTTCCCTCCCTCTGGTTGCCCTTCGCCCCCCGGCCCAGCGCTGCCAACAGCTTGGCTTGCTTGGCCCCCCGTCTCCACGCAGCCCCCCGCGCCTTCGCGCTCCTCGACGGCCCGGGCTGGCCCCTCCATCGCGCTGCGCGAGAGGGTGATCTCCGAAGCGCGAGCGCGCGTGGATGCAGAGTTCAGCCCCCGCCGAAGCTCGGGCCCCACATAAGCGACAGTCGATGGGGCCCTCGGGGGCCGGAGCTCCGGGGCAGCGCTCAACTGAAACTTGCGCCAAAGCCCGAAGCGAACGAACCCAAGACGCGGTTGCAAACAGAATTGCGGCCGCGAAACCCGCTGTCGCACACGAAACACGAGACCCCAGGGATAGCCTCAGCCACCGAAGACGCGAAGTCATGCGCCGCACGAAGATGCATGAGCCATCGTCGTCTAATGAGAAAACAATATGCAACGGCCGTCTAGCGCACACTTGCAGCCTTCGAAGCACCCAGCAGGCGCCTCTGGCGGCACGTCGGGAGCCCGAGAAGGAGACGGCCAGAAGGAGGAACGCATTCAGACAATCACGCGGCCCTGACCACCGAAAGATCTAGCTCGATGAACCAGCCCCGCAACTCCCCCTCCTCGAGAAGCGCCAGCGGGGCCCAATCCAAGAACCCATGGAGGCCTCGATGTCATCCGAAGTCTCCCAAAGCGCCTCGAAGTCCCTGGCGTACTGAATGGACCGGTTCGCCGTCGGCGCGAGGTGGCCCTCGGCGCTCAGAGCGCGGCGCCCGCGCTGCAGCTCGATCTGCGCGTCGCCAAAGACGGGGGGGGGCTCAATCATTCAAATGCCGAGCAAAGCTGCTGGCCCTCTCCTGCAATCGCGGACTCGGAACTCAACCTCGAGCGGGGAGACTTCCCGGTGCCTCAATACGTCCTCCGAGGATACCGAGCGCGCATGAGCCCCCTCACAAGATGCGGCAGCACCTGCATGGCCTTGCGACCGTTGAAAACGACCCTAGCTGCGAGCTTGTCCGCCTGGCCAGGGGGTCGGGAGAAACGCCTCGCAAGCAGACCAGGCCAGACCCACAGCTCTCCTCTTGGTGCGAGGCGGTGCAAGCGATGCGCCTAGAGTACCAGCGCTTATCCATACCTATACGACCACCCTGCGGGCGATGGGGAGGTTTGGGGGGGATGGGGGCCAGCAGTGGGCAACAGTGGTGATTGTTGTTCTCACTATCGATCTCGCTTTCGATCTCACTATCGATCTCATTATCGATCTCGATTTCGAAATCACTATTCATCTCACGATCGGTTCCACTATCGATCTCGCTATTGATGCCACTCGATCGATCACGCTATCAATCTCACCATCGGTCTCACCATCGATATAACGATTGATCTCATTATAGATCTCACTATCGATCTCTCACTATAGATCTCAACATCCATCTCACTATCGGTCTCACTACTAATCTCACGATCGATCTCACTATCGATCTCAATGTCGATCTCACCACGGGACACCACGGGACAACGACAGGACACCAGCGGGACACCAGCGGGACACCAGCGGGACACCAGCGGGACACCAGCGGGACACCGCGCGCCACCAGTTGCCGATTGCCGGGCGGAAAACCTTCCAGTCTGGCCGCGGCCCAACCACGACGGGGCACCGGCGGGACACAAGCGGAACACCAGCGGGACACCGGCGGGACACCGCGCGCCACCGGTTGCCAGGTGGAGAACCTTTTGGACCAGCCGCGGCCCAGCCACAGGAGAATTTCCTCTCCCCCGCCCACGCAGCTTCGCCTCGCCCGCGCGCGCGGCACGAACACGAAACCGAAATCGATTTCCTGGTAGGGGGGCTCTCCGTTCCACTTCGATCTCACCCCCCAACCTCCGATAATAAAATTCAAGAGGAACCGCGGCCAGTCTGGGCGCCAACTCCGAAACGAAAAATTGCACACTACTTGCCCCCCAAGATGGCGCGCGGCATCAGCGGGGGGCCCAGCAAGCAAGAACATGCGTTTCCCGACGTCGGGCATGCAAGCCATTCTCAACGAACGACAACAAGCTGACGTTCTGCATCGGGTGGATGGCGTAGCCGTGCCGGCATAGCTCCGCAGATAGCAGAAGATCGCATGCCCGCGCGCACTTGGACAGCTCCGAAGACGTCGCTTCTCCCGCCGCCAGTATTCTACGACATGCGTCGTCCACGTATGAATGCGATGCCAGGTCGAGCACGAGGCCCTCATCGTCGGGAACAAATGGAGCCGGCACCAGGTAGCCCGCGGGGGCCCGAAGTCCGCGCAGCGCCCCCGCACCTCCTCAAGCACAGCGCAGATGTCCCTGACGAGGACCTCGACCGCCCGCGGGTCACCGATCAGCGCGCCGACGCTGGGGCGCGCGCACAGGTCGCCAAACATGACAGCAGCAA